GAGACCGTCTTCCCGTGCGTTTTGGAATTTTGAGCCTGTTTGTCCATCATGACGATTTGCCATTGTCCACGAAAGTTCCGGTTGACCCACCTGATGTTTCAACTGATGTTATGCCGCTCTATGAGTGAAATTTTGCCGATTTTTTACTTTAACCATGCTTTATTATTTATCTAGCATACAAATAATGTCATATGGTGGTGAATTCTATTAAGTGAAGTTAACATCGATGTAAAGATCAAATTGCGTCGCATGTGAAAAGGCTTAGCGTTGGTTTCCTAAAATATTATTGTAGTTCGCGTGTTCGGCCTTGTTAACCGATGATACGGAAACGACTATTTATTGTATTTGTATCTAAGCTCCCCTTGAAATTTACTTGCAAAGGTTCTACTTTACAAGGTTTCACTATACAAATGAATTCAAATTTTTCTTTAAAATGAAAAACCCCAGTTCTGTATTGCACGCCTTACTGCTCTTCTTCTGCTCCACTTTCTTTGACCTTCATGGCCTTTATGGAAACTTTATGGCCTCCTTCTTTCTGCAGTAAGAATACATTATTTGCCAAAATATTCATGTTCGAAAATGAATGTTTCTTGTTCGCTTTCAGAACGCAGGTGGGAAGGTCTCGACAGGTGGATGGGTTCACTTCCGTCTCCTTCACTCAATCACTCGTAAACTGTGAGGAGAATTTCTTGATTTTTTTTTCCCGATTGGGGATGGGATCCGGTTCTCACTCTTCGCTGGGGGGTTTTGTTCGCAGTCGCGGGAGACATTGTGGTGCGAGAGTTTGCCTTGGTCCAGGGAGATATATTGCTTGCGGAGTTTATAACGATGGACCCGTTGAATCCAGATGCATTTCCAGATATTGTCATTTTCGAGTGCCCCATCGGCGAAGGTGTCCAATTTTCTGCACCTGCTTATGACCGGTTAGACGTCCTTGCGTCGTGCCCCTTGTGAATTATAGATGTGATGTCACGCGAATCATAATCTCTAATGCAGAATGGAGTCGACGGATTATGCATCGGTGGTGGAGGCGAAACTGAGTGGAGCGAAATTGTCTGCCAAGATCGAGTTCGGCCGATGCGAGGACGCGAGTGGAACATTCACTAGTGGCATCGTCGGCGTACACCTCGAACATCTCCTCGTTCACGGCTCCGATAGGGACTTTCCAAGTCTTCGTCGTCTCCCAGTTCTGAAGGTGTCAGTCAGAATTCTTAATGTCGTTTCCGTGTTCTCTCTCAGCGGCAGAAGCGAGGCTATTTGGTTCCGCGTATATAGTTCACGCCCCCCGAGGCGGCGTCTTTTCTTACGAGAGCTTCGCCATGACCGTCGATGAAAAGAACAGAGCCGTCGTCTACCCAGGCTATTGGACGTATAACTCCATTACCGGCGAATGGGGCAACTCCTTCGAAGGGATCACCTTGGAATGCACCCTTGGTGATGGCATTATCATCTTTCAGGAGGTTTGAAGGGAGAATAAAGTTCGGCGATAAAGAATGAAGCTCATTCGTGCGAAAGTTCTTCCTGGCATTGAATCCCACGAATGAAAAATGAAATGAAAAGCCTCTCCCTCAATATAACAAAAAATTAATGAAGCATGTCGTGTTAGTCATCAAGATGACCTAAGATCTAGGCAAACGGCATAATCTTCCTTGCATGCAGCAAACAGACGACTCTATCATGGAAATTTTCTCATTCAAAGTTGAATTGTCATTCACGGCTGAATGTTATTTGTTATCGTTACCAAAATATAACTTTTCCTGTTGGCCACAAGTGCAATGAAGACTTTTAAGAAATCGAAATGGGAAGGGCTGATAGGCGACTATGCAGTAAGGAATTGGGATATGGAAAAAAAAAACCATATTTATATATATATTTCCTAAAATCTGAAAGTTTGGCGTTTCCGTCGTAATTGAACCTTTCTTTTCCCGCTATTCAGTCTGCTGGATGGCTTGCTTCCACTCTGTGGAGCCTGGGTTAGTCCCTGGCCAAGAACAGGTTTCAGGGAATGGGCATTGGCCATTAGCCTTCTGTGATCGATTGGGCCTCTCCTCTTCCCCTGTCTTTCTTATTTTTGTTGTTGATATGACTGTTGGTTTTAGTTCACATCCTCAGGCTCGGGTTGCAACACCTGATCCAATTTACGAAGTGAATTGTCCCACATCTTGTGGAACTTACTCTTTTCTCTCTCTTTTCTCATCGAGCCATGAATTGTGGATGGATCATTTGGGCAAGAATCCCACTAGAGCTTAAGTTCTTCATAGCTCTCGGTTAGAGGTGGTCTGCTCTCCTGA